GCCTTCTCTATTCTCATACCAAGTACGAGCACCATCGTCAAGGTATAAATAGGCGCTTGAAAGCTTTTCCTGTTCCGACCACTGATTTACCTTGGCAACACGCTCGTAGTGGTCAAGCCAGTCGTGAACGTCTTCGTGGGCACCGCCACTAAAGCGATCAGGAACGAGGGGTTGAAAGAGGGTTACCTGAGATGGGTGCGTCGGAAAGCTGCCTTGGGGCACCTGTTGTGGGCTTGCGTTGGCCATTGGTTGAGGTCTGCGGTGCCTAGCAGGTTCCAGCGAGTGAGTCAGCTCTGGCACGAGGCCTCGCAACCGTCGACTGGAGCGATGCACCGGTGTTTCTACAGGTGACAACGCGTCTGGACTCGATGAGCGGCTCCCAGCGGGCGTGTGGAGCATCAGACAGGATTGCAGCCCAGCACCTCCACCAGTGTCGCGGTACTTCGCGAATAAAACACAGATACACCTTGGGACGACGAAATCAGCGTGTCCTCAACAGCTGAGCCACAAGATCGTCTTCTTCGGCCTCGAGAGAAGCTAGAGGCCCACTACTTCGTGCCCACTAAATAAATGCCCCATCATCGTTATCGTCCACATGTAGACACGCGTCAATATTTTGTCCTGGAGCTTCAGCGCAGCGTCCAAAATCTCGTCTGCTAAGAAATGCTGTTGTTCTGTTGTTTAGCAACTGTAGTCAATTTAATTTGGTTTAGTTTTGCAACATACTGTGATCACTATAGGGCGACTTTCGCTTGAAGCAATGAAAACTGAGAACTCCCGGTTTGAATTGACCATCGTGGAAACCAACATGTTCGAATTATCGGGAGTTTCTCCCATAGAAATACACGACTGTGCCTGGACTAGGGCGTCAAGTTTAAATTAACTGTAAGTTTGAATTAACCAAGTTCGAATTGACAAGCTTTTACTGTATATTCTTTTGTCAAGAACGCTGATGAAGTGCAAAAAGCATGTCTTGATATATTGTGGTTGGAGGAAACACCATATTATTCTCTTATTGACATTGCTGTGTCAACAGGTTTGATAACTGCGCATCCGCAAAAATGAGGCAGTTTTACTGACTAACTCAAGCACTCCTATGCCGAAATTACAGAGTGTAGTAGACACATCACTAGGTCTGCTCTCTCCATTATATAGTAGTGATGGCCACGTTCACTCATATAATTTGTGCTGTTCTACATCACATTGAAGGAACACGCGACTAAATTTCCATTTGTTCCTCGATTACTACACATAACGTCCCCTATGCTTTACTTTGTATTGTGTCTAAAGAAGAAACAAGTCCCGTGTACCATTTTTTTCTTTCAATTAGATTTGAGACATTTATTTAGTTTCGGTATTAAGGAAATAGTTCTGTTGTAACGACAGGGAGAACTTCAGGTGATGACATGTAATTTCATGTGTGAAAGACTAGCTTATGCAATAGGTAGAAGTATGTATAAGTGAATGTGTATGTGTGTGTTCTGGCTTTAACAGTTATACCTGTGCTGTTGCAGATGGGTCCTTTGGTCCTACGAAGCATCCAAAAAGCTGTATGCTTTGGAAATCGCCAAATTGAATATTTCCAGTTTCTTTTTTTTAAATGAATCTCCTCTTTTTGGTGTTAGTATTATTGTCATGAACTCAAGATCGTGACGATGATATGGCAGTATTTACTGGTTGCAGCCTCGGCAGATTGGTGATCTTCAGTTTCGGAAAATTATATATTCCCTTCTTGCTGTTTTGGTCTCTTGAAAATTTTAAGAGAATAGATTTATTTATAATCAACACAAATTGGCTTGTTGTTTCAATAATAATGTATCTTTTTGAAAGTGAAAATGTTTGTGGAGGTAAAGTTTAAAAAACAATCTTCGTTGATTTGTTACTGTAACACTATTTAGTGGCACATTGATTTCACACATACGTTACTAATTACTTTGAATTATGTTTTTTGTGGAGATCCTGATTGCTTTGTGCGAACCTTGCCCTCTGAAGTGCTGTGCTTTTTTGGTGTGCTTTCAAATTTACACAATATTGAAATTACTGTGCACAAACCATTTATTTTCATCATGCTATTTACCAACCAACACTATCATTTGTGAATTGTCCTTAATTGTAACATTCTGAAACATGTTACCATTTCTCACTGTTACCTTTTCCATCATAATGTCAACCAATTTTTTCGTAGTTTTTTCGTACCACAAGATGAACTTGATATGCCATAACATGAATACTGTGATGCCTAAAATGCATGTGTTACTCTAATTTAATCGGCACATTTTTTAGTTAAATGTACATTAATAATTTAGGCATCTGAATACGGCTTTCCAAGTTTGGTTGATACATATAGCTGTGATTTCCGTTCAGAGTAGTGAGGTTTGTGTTGCAATAAAATAGAGTGGCTGCAGATTTATATTAATTTAAGTGGCTTATTTACTAGCTGGTTGAAAAGTAAAAAGTTACCATTAGCGTTAACATAATAGCATTAAATAGCTTGTTTTATCTAAATTTTAATGTCTGCACTGGCATCATTGTTAGCCAAAAATTGTAATGAATGCATGACAAATATTAGCAATCATTATTGCATCCATTGAAAATCAACAATAGAATGAAAATCATAGATCTGAGCCACAATCGAACCCAGGCCTTCTGTGGGACAAGCAGACGTTCTACCACAAAGCCATGCCAGAGCTTTAAAAAAGTCTAAAAAAAGAATCCTATACTTTTGTTATATGGCATGTGTAATATTGTGTGGAAAATGTGTATAATTGTTGGAAGTATCACAGCATGTGAATTGCACAGTGAGTAGGCAGTTCAAGTGCACACAAATTACAAGGGTGCAACCATTATGCTCAATATTAATTGATCATTATGATCAGTAACACCTTCAACAAGGAGTACTATGACATAAGTCGTGGCGTGGTTGACGGGACAACTGAAGCGAAGCTTGGATATCAAATGAGGAAGTGAAGTTAAAATTGATTTTTCTTTTTTTTATTGCTAATGCTTTTTTCTTGGTTTGTATTTTGCAATTTGGTTCAATTTGTTTCATATTAAGTCACCTCGTTTGTTCAAATTTGAAGTGATGCTTTTGCTGTCTTCCATTGCACTGATTCTTCTGTGCAAGGAAACTGTGCCGTTTTGTTAAATGGTCTATGCTTATTGCAGCAGCTCAGATGATGGAAAACTTTCGAAGCTCAATAGCTTCCAAATCAAATTTGTATGAGGTGGTGGCAGGTGTTATCATGCATGTGTCGAGGTATTTATGTGCAGTGATGTGAAAACTTGTGAGAAGCATAGGTCGGTGCACTGTTACTATTTCAGAAACATTTATAGGTAGGCTCATTGTAACATCTGTGGGTAGGCCAAGAGTATCAGAATTTAAATGGACGATATTTCTTAATGGCCTTTGGCTTTTGCCATATAGTTAAATAGCAGGGGTGGAACAGCTGCGCCATTGTGCGTCAAACTTCTTTACCTGCGCCATCCTGTGCCGAATTACCCCTGCTATGCCAAACTTGCTTTCTCAGTTTTGTACTGCACCACAGCGCCAGAATTCAGCTGCAAGATGCGAAAACCATCAAACGTCGTGCCCAAAAACGTGGATGAAATGTAGTCTTTTTTGTTTCATCGAAACGATTGTAGTTTCGGTATAAAGCTGTGATCGCTCTAGCAGCAGTCGTGAACCTCCATTCTAAAGTCACATTCAAAGCAGGCATCAGCGGGAATGGCTTGTGAACCCTCTGCACGCTTTACGTGCTACGCTCTCAATGCGAAGGGACTGTACGAAGAGCATCCTTGGCTCGGCTGTTTTGTAGAGTTACGTGATATCGGATTTGATAGAGTTGACTTCCAGCCCTACTTGCTGTCGCATTCATTGCATCACCCTTTCAGTAAAACTTGTTTTTATAACTTCATGGCAGCGTTTGGGGGAAAAATGTCAGCTACATTGCTCAAAAGAAGCTGGGGTGGTGTCCAGCTCCCAGAATAGACTAGCCAAGACAGGTGCACATGACTGCTCAAGTGCACGCATACGCATATTCTAATTCATTTGGTTGCGGTGCTTCGCACTTATCGACTCGGCGGTTCACGCTTGCGTGTTCAGGTTAAAAAGAAAATAGGTGGCTGTTAAGAACTAAAAAAAGTCACAGTAGCATTGCAGGAGTGTAGCATTGAATATGATAGCTGCATATTGTAATGTTATACGAAGTGGGGCTGGCAGCTAAATGTTTGGGATCGGATCTCACGTAACTAAAAAACACTGCCGTACGAGAATATGGCAACCTCAAAGAGATCAACACTTTTCCCAGTCTCTTCGCAATGAGAGTGCAGCATGTAAAAGTGTATGCGAACTGTCTGCTGATGGCTGCCAAGCTAGCGTGCACGCCAGTGATCGCCACCACGCCCTCAAAGTAAAGTTCACAGTCAATGCTCGAGCGTCACCCCCTCCCCCGCCTTCCTTTTTTTTCATGTTTTGTCAAGGCGGGTGGAGGGGTTCCTTTGTGCTTCATCTACAGGCCTCCCTGGGCGGAGATGTTATCGCACACACTTATCGCACATGGATAGAACATACCATGTGCGGGGGGTATGTTATCAATTTGGGTTTAGTACTGGACTTGACGGCAACGGCAAAAACCCATCGAGGGTGTCCATATAGCTCCTTTTGCAATAATAAGGCAGTGGCACAATTTAAAAAGACATAGCATTGAACAAATGTTGCTTGAAAAGTGCTTTGAACGGGGCTGCATATTCTTTGAATGTTTTTACTGCTATAAACTTGCTCGAAAAGGACCTCCTGGCTGTTCCAAGCCTGCTATGAAACGTCTTTCTGGCTGCTCCATGCATGCAACAAAAAGTACTTTTGTCTGCTCCCAGGACTGCTCTCAAACTCATCTACCCTGTTCTACCCCTGAAATAGTCATATGAAGTCATATAGTCCCTTTCCGCATAGTCTGTGACACTTGGTAAGCATTGCCTTCCCATTTTTTTCCATGACGTTGCAGATTCCTCATCGTTGGAGACATCTCCGAACCATTCCCCGTCATGGGTGTCAGTGCCAGTGAAACTGCATTCCTGCCCTGAGTGCAGCTATATGACCAAAAAAAAGGCACATATCACGAGGCATCTTCGCACCCACACAGGCGAGCAGCCATTCCGGTGCCACTTGTGTCCAGCTGCATTTCCTGAGAACTGCAAGCTGGTGACTCATTTGCGCACCCACACTGGAGAACGTCCCTATTCTTGTATTCACTGCAATGCATCCTTTTCAGTCAGCGGGGCCCTCAAGACCCACATGCGCACCCACACAGGAGAGCGTCCCTATTCCTGTGATCAATGCAATGCATCCTTTACACTCAGTGGGTCCCTCAAAAGTCACATGCGCACTCATACGGGGGAGCGTCCCTTTTCATGTGACCAATGCCACGTGTCGTTTTCGCAGAGGCCACATCTTGTTAACCACATGCGCACCCACTCAGAAGAGCGTCCCTTTTCTTGTGACCAATGCAGTGCATCCTTTCGTCATAAAACCACACTCGCTCAGCACATGACAATGCATTCCGAAGAGCGGCCGTTCTCCTGCGTCTTGTGCCCTGCATCCTTTACGCGGAAAAACAAGCTCAGAGATCACATGCTTCGTTGCCATGAAAAGAAGATGACTTGAATTTCAGTGGCATACGTTTTTCTTGTGAGGAAAATATCAGTTTTATCACAATTTATTGTGGTAATGTAACTTACTAAGGGCATTAAGTAGTTTTTAGATGCTCGAGAATTTGAGTTTCTTGCAAAATGTTTATTTTCTGCATTTCTGATATCCATTGCTATGCATCCTGTTCAAGGTAACAGTGCTACCATAAAAGTGAGGGAACTAAAGGCTTTCTTTTAAGAGGCGTAGATGGAATGTGAGTGGAGAGTTTGTTCAGGTAATAATTGAACTATTATTCAGTTTTAAAAAAGGGCATTATTCTTCAAGTCACACTCTAAAATGGCACTAAATGTTAGAAGTGATGGGGCATCGATAGAGGGATTTTGAAGAAGAGGGCCTCTAATGTGTTCAGGGTCTGCCCATAAAGATTAGAACCAGCTAGGTCTCGGAGAGAAGTTGTGTAGAGGAGCAGGAGGTGATAACAACAACGGTGTTTGTTTACATGAATAATGGTAGTGTCTCTTTTATCTGATGGTAGCAAGTTTACATGGACCCAACAAAAGACCTTCCCTTTTTCTGTTTTTATGGCTGCCCATCCCGTTTGAAAGAAGGGCCTTGTGGTAGTTCGGGGCCCTCAGACACGAACAACCAAGACACGGACATCAAACATTTATCAACTAGACTAGTTTGTGATACAGTCACAAACGTTTCAATTGGCCGAACATGACAAATATCACATAGGTCCTAACCCTACGCTCCTAGCCTACATAACTGCGACAATCGGTGCATCCCGAAATAATTGTTCGTCGGACGTCACTCACAGTAGCAGGAGGTTGACAACAGATGCACAAAGCGGTAGGATCCCGAGTAGTACCGCAGAGCACGATGACGTCGTGCGGTGACACACGAGCAGACCTGGAACTGCTCGTTTCCCAACACGCAGGCCACAATGTGTCCAACATGGTGCCGAGGCCACGACTTCAGCTCTGGGGAAGGACCCGCTCGTACGGTAGCACCATGACCACGATTTTCCCCGGTTGTTCAGACCCGCTGACGTGCACCCTCTGTTTGAACGGAAATAGCTGCTCGTCCAGAAGCTCGCTTGCTCACTGCAGGAGCAGTACTGCTACGCCAGATTGGGACATCCACTCGTCCTCAGGAGATGCCAAGCTCGTTCCGACTGGTCTGGTCGTACCAGCTCGATCCCTAGCCCCGCCGCGGTGGTCTAGTGGCTAAGGTACTCAGCTGCTGACCCGCAGGGCGCGGTTTCGGATCCCGGCTGCGGCGGCTGCATTTCCGATGGAGGCGGAAATGTTGTAGGCCCCGTGTGCTCAGATTTGGGTGCACGTTTAAGAACCCCAGGTGGTCTAAATTTTCGGAGCCCTCCACTACGGCGTCTCTCATAATCATACAGTGGTTTTGGGACATTAAACCCCACATATCAATGAATCAGCTCGATCCCTAGCGGTAGACTCTCGAACAGAACGTGCGGAGCTCTGGCTGGCTGGCCACGTTCTTTCAGCCCGGCGACGTTCACCAGCCCGTGAGTTTCGTGAGCGTCTCTCTCGTGCACACCGTCGTCTTCTTTTCCGATCGTGCTTTTTTGGTTGTGAAAAATACTCTCTTACCACACTCCCCCCAACTTCCAGTACGTTGTGCTGCGGATAGCAATAAACTAGATGCAAAACAACGCAACACACTAATAAGAAAGACAGGGCGCGAGCAAATGTAAAGACTTCAAATAGTGGAAGCATCCTGTCACTGCACACTACTGTAGACCACATTGGCTATGCACTTTGTTCAAGACGTGAACACGAACACTCATTTCACATTTTGGTCGGCGTTGGCACATACGGTCTCACACACTCGCATGCCGCGTATACGTCACAGCGAGGCACGCGCACACTGACGGCTCTGGTGGTTAAACACAAGTCCATACGCAGCACACACCACGCACTGATAACACAGGTGCCTCGTTGTCACTCTGTGTTTTGCGGAGTGACAACACCACACCATGTTCGAGGTAGTTGTCGTCAGTTAGGGCTTCTTTGGGCACGTCGCTTGTACGTCCATGTCCTGTGGCGTTGAAAGCGACTCTGGAAACGTGGTGGTTGAAACGATGGCTGAGGTTACGATGGCACCTGATGCATCAGTACACCCACGCTGTCCATGTCATCTCAGTGGAGCTTAAGAAGCCCCACATGAGATTCAATGGAGCTGCCGGTATTGTGTCTCTCATAGTTGTAGTTTTGCCTTGGTCGTCGACGCGGTGGTACCCCGGTCATCGTGTTCGAAAGCAACCGTGCCTCATCTTGAGAGATATGTGTACCTCTAAAATGCGGCAAATCTGGTCGTGAATTTGGCCATGGTGCTGTCGATCGTCCTGCAGGTCCAGAAGGATGTACCATGTGCAAATTGGTTTAATGGGCTGGTTTCCTCTCACTGTTGTGGCATCCAGTGATATGACTCCTTTGATATTTCCCAAGACCACATCATAAACTAAGTCTCGCAGGCAGTGAGCACGCACTTCTCTTCTAAAAATTGGCGTGTCTAAAAAGATCACCACTTCTGGTAGGTATTGCACTGTACGGCTGAGGAAGAGTACCTGCGGATACTTTTCAGTCAATTTTTCTTCTGGCACTAATGCCTTTCGAACAACAACCGCATCGCAGCCAGTGTCATGGAGTACGCTAACAGAGAGTCTATTCGTAAACCCTTTCATCAAAGGCATGTTCCTAGTGTTGCCAATGAAGAACTTTGGCTGACTGCAGTGTTGACAACGGGTATTTATTCTCCATCTTTCTGAGTAACGTACTCTACTTTTTCTTTGGACTTCGCATCATTTCTTTTTCCTGTTACAATGCAAGATGCTTCGCATTTCTCCCCTCTACCAGCAGAATACTTGCCATTGTTATGACCATGCACAAGAAAAGATGCTTTCGTTCGCAACCAGCATTCTGCCGCCCTGTGTCGTTTTTTTTATCACACAGAAAGCAAACATCTTTCGCTTGACGTGTCTTCTTTGCATGCTCAGGCAACCCTGTTTCCGTCCGAGCTCGTTCCGTATTCAAGTTCGGAAGCGCCTGCGCTTCCATAAAGGTGTGTGCGGTCTCACATATTGTGCTCAGTGTCTCGCATTTTCTTTCTTTAAGAAAAATTCTTAGTGCTAGGGAACAGCCTTTCATGAACTGTTCACATATGATCACTTCTTTCAAGCCAGAATAACTTCTTTCTGCTTGCTCATTTCGAGCCAATGCTCAAAATAACCGGAGAGTCTCACCGCATACTGCAGGCGGGACTCATTATCTTCGGGTTTCCCCTTGCGAAATTTCTCCCGATAGCCTTCTGCAGTGTATCGAAACTGCTGCAGTAGCGCCGTTTTTAACTGGTCATAACCCATCGCAGCTCTCTGATCCAACCGGCCTATCACAGCGCCTCTCCAGTCATGCATAAATTCAATGACAACGCCCATTTCTCACAGGGCCATCCTTGACACGTTGCGACCTGTTGAAACCGCTCCAGGTAGCTTTTAAGGTTGTCACGCATTTCGTCAAAAGGCGGTATCAAATTACGAGGGCTACACACTTATGGTGCACTTGTAGTGCTCGAGGTAGGTCCCCATGGTGCTCTAGCCCCAGCAGTCTATCCTTCCTTGCTCTCCTGAAGTCGCAGCCTCAGCTCCAGTATCTTCAGTTCTAGTTCCTGAAGTAGGCGTTACCGCTCAGCGCTTTCTCTTCCGAACTCGCGTTCCTTAGCACGTTCATCATGTGCAATTGCACATTCTCTGTCCACCCATTCTTTAAGTTCATCCTTCTCAAGTACTAGTTCACGGCCCAGTCCAAAAAATCTTTCCCTGTCCATGCCTCAGCCCCGCATCTGAGTAATGACCATAACGTTAATGTGCCATCCTGGCAGAGGCTCGCCAAATGTGGTGGTTTGGAGCCCTGAGACACGAACAACCAAGACACGGACACGAAACATTTATCAACTGGATACAGTCACAAACATTCTGATTGCCCGAACATGACAAATATCACGTAGATCCTAACCCTAGTCTCCTAGCCTACACAAGCGCAACAGTCGGTCCCTACCGAAATAATTGTTCGTTGGACGTCACTCAAGGTAGCAGGAGGTTGATGACAGATGCATGAAGCAGTAGGGTCCCGAGTAGTACCAGTCTGCACGATGACATCGTCGAGCAGACTTCGAACTGCTCGTTTCCGAACACGCAGGTCACGTGAGTCCGCCGTGGCGCCGAAGCCACGCCTTCGGCTCTGGGCGGTGATGGACCCGCTCGTACGAGGCTCCATGACCACGATTTCCCCTTGTTGTGCCCGAACAGCTTGGGCGTGGCACCTGCTCGTACGTGGCAACCACAACCACGATTTCCCCTTGTTGTGCCGGAACCGCTTGGACGTGGCGCCGAGACCACGATCCC